AAAAATCACCATGAATTTGGTATCTTAAAGCAACAGAAATATATTTACTTATATTTTTAGAGCCCAGAAGTCCAAAGTCACGGCCCTGACCTGGCACTACCATGGCCGAGGCCGGGGCTGTGTGCTGCCCTGCCTCGCTTGGCTGCGGTGGCCGCCGGCAGCCCCTGGCTTGTGGTGGCCTCCGCTGGCTGCTTGCGCTGTCTCCCGGTACCGCCTCTGTGGGCACGCGCGCCATGGCATTTAGGCCTGGGCATCCCTGCCTCGAGATCCTCAAAACTCGTTCTGCAAAGCATCCTATTATTTATGCCATGTAAGGTAGTATTCACACTTCTGGGAGTCAGTATGCAGACGTTGGGTGGAAGGCAGGGCATTCTCCAGCGTGCCCCTTGTTCCTTACTGCAATATCTATGACTAGGCAGGGCAGGAAGTTTCACAGCTCATTTTGTTCTCTGTAACCGCCGGGTGAGAAGAGCTTCCCTGGGTATTGCTGAGAGCATAGTGTGACAATAGGTCAAGAACTTGCGGCAACATCCGCGTTTCGGGGGACGCGAACCGCCACCGTCCGGGTTGCCGGGTGCTGTCTGGTCAGGGTGCCAGGGCAGACCCCCGCGTGCACTGCGGGAGGACGAGTCAGTAACGTCTCCGCGAGGCGGCGGCGGCCCCCAGAGCTGCCCTCCCGCCGCTGGGCTTAGCAGCCGCGCCTTCCCTTCGGCGCCCCGCGGAACGCAGACCCCGAGCTGCCTCGCTGCGCCCGGGCTCACACTGCGTGAGTGGCTGCCCCGAGGTGGCCCGCAGCGTGAATCGCCCGGGAGACCGCGGAGGCGGGGACCGCGGGCCCCGATGTGCACGGAACGCGCCTGGGCGCGCCGACCAGGGAGCCCGCACCCCCGCCCGTCCCCAGCGGAACCGCGCCAGTGCGCTCGCCCCGCAGTGAATTCGAACCGTGCGATCCACTTATTTCTGTGGAAAACATTTTAAAATGTCCCCTTGGGCACAACTTTAAAGAAAATGTATTTGCATGAGGAAGTAGGTTGTCAGGGAGTCAAGCTGCAAAACGCTTGGCAGCGGTGGGATTCGAACCCACGCCCCCGAAGAGACTGGAGCCTTAATCCAGCGCCTTAGACCGCTCGGCCACGCTACCTGCTGTTGACGTTGGGACCCGTCTTGAAGTTGTGCACAACACGGAGCCCGGCTCCGTCCGTGGGCGACCCGGGCCCAGACCACAGTCGCGAACTCCCACTGACCCGCGCGGCCAGGCTCTGCGAGGCGCGCTGTCGCCGTCGGAGTCCCTGGGGGCGCCCCGCGCGCTCCTGCGAGCTGCTCCCCGTCCGCGTGCAGGGCCGACAGTGGCGGCCCCGTGTGCGCACCCGCGTCTCTGCCCGCGCGCCACATCGTGTCCCGCAGCGCGGGGTGCAGGCGCGCACGCTTGTGCAGTCGAGGGTAGAACCCCAAAACCACGCGGGTCCCCAGCTGTGCGGCAGCCACGGGGCGGCCCGGCAGCCACAGCCGGGAGACACGCAGGCAGGCTGGGTGCGGGCTGCGGAAGGCCGTCCACGAGGGCGCGGGATGCCGGCCCCGGCCTGCGCGCCTCCCGCCCCGGCGCTGCCACCGCCCGGGCCCACGGAGCTGGCACCGTCTCGGGGGACCCTGCCTTCCTTCTCCCTGCGGGGTGCACCCCCAGGACGGCTGCGACCGGCTCAGGGCCGCCCTCCAACCTGCGGACAGCGGAACCTCCGGGTGGCGAGAGCTGCTCACCCCGAGAAGCGCTTGTTCTTGTTGGACAGCTTTAGGACCGGAGGGCCCAGAGGAAAAGGCTCTTGTGTTAAGAATGTTTCAGGACTTTCCAAACCCCACGAGAAACCCTTCGTGTTCTGGAACCCCGCACGCTCTGCAGGCCGCGCGGAGCCGAGTTCCTCCGGGCCGCAGCCCAGCCTGCCGGACTAGGACGCTCTGGCCGGCCAGCCTGCACTGCCCTCACCGCGCCCGGAGGGCAGCGCCCTGGGCTGGGAGCTGGTGAGCAGGACACCACTGATCTGCCCCGTCTCCTCCCTGCAGGGATCCCGTGAGGACCTGAGGACGACTCTGGGCTCCGCAGCCTCGAGGCTGAGACCTGCAGACCGCGGCCACTGCGGCCCGCCTGACCTCCCACCACCGCCTCACTTCGGGGGCTGAGCAGGAGAGGTTGAGTCTGCAGACAAACATGGACTTAAAGCCGGAATGAAAGCGGGTGAGTGGGTCGGCGGTTCAGTTACTTTTCTCACAAGTTGACAACAGGGAGCGAGGGTCGTAGGAGAATGGTTCATGAATTAGCTTCGGGTTATTTAATTCTTCTGTGTGCTTCGTTGTCATGCCCATGAAGTGGCCTGTTTTAGAATTTGCTGTTGGTTCTGTAATCTTCATGTCTCCAAAGCTCAAATGAACCCCTTAGTTTCAGCGTGGCTGGCGGCAATGGGCGGTCAGGTCAGGGTCTGACCCACGTCTGCTTCTCCGGAGCACCCTTAGCCTGAATCAGCGGCCCCTGTGCTTTGCAGCTAGCAGCAGGGACTCCCTGGCTTGTGACCGGCACCTGGCCCGGGGTATCCATGGTTGCAGGCGCTTTTCCTGTGCACCTGCCTCTCTGTCCCATCTCCCTCTTTACTTTTATAAGGACCAGTGTGGTCCCTCTTCTGCAAAGAGCCTGTTTGTACGTGAAGCACAGTCACAGGGCCCATGGGTGAGGTGTCCATGCATCTTCCTGAGTCTTTCCAGAGCAGCCCTCACCCCGCTCTGTCCGGCTATAACTTTAGATTCGAACCTTGGACCCTGCAAGAGGATTCGGTGCTTGGCCCCTGCAGCTGTGTAAGAAACGAGCCTAGAGCTATAAACCGCAGCACCGCAGCCTGCCGCCTGCCCCTCAGTGCTCACCCAGGCCCTCCCACCAGCCGTCTGTGAGCTGTCACAGTTGTCTGTCAGTGTGAAAGTGATGCCCAAGCCAGAGGGCCCGGCGCCTGTGCCCCAGGAGGAGCAGCTGAAGCTGGGGTGGGGTGGAGGCTTCAGCCAGGCCGGCCCAGAGGCAAGGCGGGAGGTCCCGGCCTGAAGGGCACCTTTCTGATTACTTTATCCTGCTGATTGTGGATGTAGAGTCACACAGTAGTCACGCCAGGATGTTTTCCATTAAAATTTTAAAAGCATTTGTCAGTAAACTCATCCCAGTAGAGGGATGCTGACACCCCCGCCCCACCCTTTCCGTGCCCAAACTCCTTCCTTGCTTTACTTTTCTCCACTGGTTTCATCAGGATGTGGTAAATTTGCTCACTGTACGTATTCACTTCATTGTTACTAATTATTGGAAGGAAGCGCATCTTTGTTCTCCCACCTTTGGAAATGTGCCCAGCGCATAAGACAGGCCATTAGTGCCGGGTGGGTGGCGGAGGCGGGCCCCTTGCCCCAGGGATGAAGCTGGGCCCTTTCACATCTCTGCGCAGCTCTCCCATCATTCCTTACTGCCGTGCTGTCTCTGGGGTACCCGGGTCCAGGCTTTCTGATCCCCACTCGATCACTACCTTGTGTGAGGCTCTCCAGCACTTTTCCTATGAGGACGCGCTGGGCAGTGTCCTTTCCAAGACAGCGGACACAGGGCCGGGATGCAGCGTGCTGTGAGGGCACCTGCCCGGCCCAGCACAGTGGCTGCTGTGTGGAGACTGATCACCCTGTGTAGCTGTGGAGCATGAACTGTGCATCTCATCCCGGAAGGCAGTCCCAGAGCTGGGGTTCTAGGTGGGTCAGACTTGTCTGGGTGCTTTGAACACATTCTGGATGCTTACAAACATTTTAATGCAAAATGCATGTGAAAATTGACCGGTGCAGTTCCATGCACTATTCTTTAGCAGGGTTTTGCATTTGGATTATGACCCTACCGGTCTATTTTTTTCAAAAGTATGAAACCCACACAGGTTGTAATGAATCTACCTGTATGAACATGGTTGTGTTGTAAATTTGGAGGACTTGGAGATCAATGGGAAGACTGCAAGGACTCAACACAAAATGTCTTAAAAGAACCAACCCCACTGGGGTGATCCCAGAACTCCTGCCGAAGAGACCAGCACTGAAGCCAGCTAAGCCACGGGCCACGGAGTGCCGAGAGGAAGGAACTGAATCTGCCCCGGTGCACGTCAGAGTCAAGCGGGTGAAACCGCGCGTTCTGCAGAGCTTGCCCCTACCCGTCACCCAAGACTGCTGTGAGGTCCTTGTGGGGTCAGCACTGAAGCATCCTAACCTGGGACAGCTCCCAGCTGTCCTCCCTGCAGACTTCCTGTCCCCATCCCCGGGTGGTGACCCGACTTCGGCAGTGACAGCCCCTGGAGGGCGCCCGAGGCCACAGCACTGACCCCTGCCTGCAGTCAGCAGCTTTGCAGGCCCAGCCTGAGGCCTTGGGACACCTCCTGGGGTGGGGCAGCCTCAGGGCAGCCGAGCAGTGACGAAGAGGCCCCAGTCAGAGCCCTGCGTCACCCCCCCCCCCGCCTGTTGCTTAGAAACCGTTCCTCCTCACTAGCTTTGATTCCCAGAAAACAAAGCGGCCAAGCCTGTTCTCTGTCTTGTGCATCTTCTGAGAGCCATGTTCCTGTGATTTGGGGTGCCTCTCTGCAGGGAGACAGCTGGCCCCCACTGCCTCAGTCAAAATTCAGCTTACAGTGCAAGCATCTGAGTCAAAATAACATCAAAAGAAAGACGCCTACTTTACCTCCCCATCTAATCTTAATGTCTGATTTTCTGACATTTGAGTCACCACAGAAGGCTGGATTTTATCTCTAAGCACCTTGGTCTGAAGGGCGGCTCTGTTGTTTTGTTACTACCAGCACCCCTATTGCTTTTGGATGTGACAAGGAAAGTTCTAGAGCGTTTGAGGAGAAACAAAACACAGAAGGGTAAATTGAGGAGGTCCGGGGTGGAGACCATGCAGTGGAAGAGGAGTCTGGTTGCAGGCCTAGAAGGCATCTGGGAAATGGGTACACAGAGCCAGGTTGCTGCAGAAGTTTTTTTTAATTTGAGGCAGTGACAGAATGAGTTTAAAGCTGAGGGGACTCGGGGTGAGGAGAAAGTCTACCGTTCAGAGTGAAGGGACATCCCTGCCTGGGCGCCGTGACCCGAATGCACAAAGGACAGGCACCAGGGAAGGTTCTGGTAGGGTCCGATCCAGGGCTTTTGGGACCCACCATCATGGAGACACCCTTCCTTCTAGGGAGGCTTCTGCTCGCCTAAGAGTCCTACGGGGTGCAGGCCGGAGGGGAAGATCGAGGGGTGCTGTGCTGGGGGAGGCTGTGGCCAGAGAGCCTGGGCGGCTCTGCTGTCTTGGCTGCCAGGACTTGGTGGGATCCCTGTCAGAACTTGAGGTGACTCTTCAGAGACACCGGGAAGTCTGAGTCATGCTGAACTGTGATTTTCTCCTGAATTGGGAGAAACTTGGTATCTCAGGGTCAGAGATTTTGGTAGGTAAGTTTAGTTCCCTTAATCCTCAAACCCATGCACGCAGGCACACACACACACACACACACGCACCCTTACACATCCATCCAGACACACTCGAGGGGCTCACATGTGAGTGCAGAGGCACTGATGACAGGTGACAGGACAGGACTGGCTGGAAGGACAGAGCCCTTGTTATTATGCTGTGCCTGAGGTGGGGAGGGGGAGCCACTCCCCCTACTGGGCTTCGAACTGCTTCAGGTACTCCAAGATGTCGGACTTCACCACACTGACCGGAGCCTTGTGGAACCAGCGCATGACAGGGACTCCATCCGGCCCCACCAGGAACTTCTCAAAGTTCCATCGGATGTCATGGACTCGGATGGGGTCCCAGAAGAGCAGGCGTGGAGACCCCAAAAGCTCAGAGGTTGGAGGGCAGGAGTTCTGGAGCAGAGAAGTGAGATCTGGAGGTAAGTGTCTGTGCCTCCGTGCCTCTGGTCTGCCCCCGCCCCAGAGGGTCTGCTGGCCGGTGGTGGCAACTGTGATACATTCACGAAGGTGCTTCCTGTTGGGCACCACCAGCCAACCAGGAGCATCTCCGTAACTGTCAGCAGAAGGCACCCTGCCCTCCCCACTCCATGCCCGGGTCTCTGCATGGTGCCAGCAAAAGCTCATCTCCTGTTTCCTGGGCCAGTCACACCATCTCTGTAGTTTCAGCTTCCTTGGGTGAAAAACGATGGGCTGGCATAAAATAGGGTTCCTACAGCCCACCAACCCATGGGGCTGGTAAAGTCCAAGAGCTACTTTCTGAAAACGAATGTAGAATGATCACTCATTTTATTCGTTGTTGGGTTTTTTTGTTTTGTTTTGTTTTCATACTGGGGATCAAACTCAGGACACTGCACTTACCAGGGAAGCACTTAAGCCACTGAGCTAAATCCGCAGCTCAACTTTACTTTGACAATAAGAAAAATTTAAAATTTACTATAACCACAAATTCAAAAATTAATTTTTCAATAGTAGGCTTAGCTCTAAAATTAATGACATCACTATTTTTGAGCAATAAAAAGGTAATTTATATGGTATAACCTACAGTCATTAGAATAAGTTGTGGTCTTCTCCACTAACTAAGATGTTACTTATCCATTTCATCTTTTTCCCTTTCTTTCTTCAGTTTGCTGTGGCTGGGTGCAAGTCTCACTCAGGCCTAGCCCCAGGGGTGGGTGGCCAGGTCTTCTGTCCTGGTATTCCGTGGCTCTTACCTAACTGCGCTGGCCACAGGCACTCTGCCTGCCTCCCGAGCATGTGTGAGTCCTTTTGGGGGACCACATCACTGCTTGGATAGTGCAATCCACGGCTCATGCTAGAGACACAGTAAACACCTGCTGGATGGCCGGTCCTTACCACCGATAGGGGAGGGCTGTCACGGCAGAGCTGTTATCCCTCCACCTACAGCCAAACCTCGTCAGCGGACACTGTGATGTGAAACTGGTCTGAGAATCTCTGCAGAGTCAATGCCAGCTCTGGACAGGAGCCTCGGCTTTCGGGGCGCTGCCACCGGACTGGCTTACGTTCACCTACCTTCAAGAAGGTGAAGACCTTCTGTTCTTTTTCTCCATTCACATCCCCTTTCTCGAAGAGCTGGAAATTGGGGACGAATCCTCCCCCTGGACGCACGTACCTGCAAAAAACCGACGTGTTCCCAAGCAGACCCGGATGAGAACAGCAAGGACAGAAACGGCCACCACCAACTCCTCAAAGAAGGAAGAGAGAGGCAGAGCGGAAAGGACAGTGAGGAGGTGGGGGGGGGGGCAGGCCTGCAGGAAGCCACCAAAGACTCCGGAGAAAATCAGGTGATCTTTTGCACATGGGCTTCTGATTCATTTGCATTTCCTGTATCCCCTCCTGCCTCCTGGACTTCTCTTCCATTAGCTCCTCCTCTACTTTGGCCAGTAGAGAACCAAAGGGGTGGATGTTTGAGCAACGTCAGCCTCCTCCGTGGGGACCTTCTCCAGCCCACTCACCCGACGATGCCAACCCTAGCAGTTTCTAGCCTGGGAGTGTACAGAGTCCTGCACAGGCACTCACTTGAGCCCGGAGAGGATCTCTGAGTTCTTTCCTGGTTCTTGTCTTCCAAACTGGTTACAGGGGAAGCCCAATAAGACAACACCGAAGCTGCGCAGCTCATCCTGCAGTGCATTCAGTTCTGAGGGCGGAGAATGGATCAGGGTCAGCATCCCGGCCTCAGGGCAGAAAGACCTGGGATTCACCGCTTGTCACTGGGGTCTGCAGAGGGCTGTGGAAGGGATTGGGCAGGCAAGCACCAGGCCACAGGCACTCATGAAAGAGGTTGCCAGCTTTGTCTGTGATGTCCTAGGAGGCTGCACCACCCTTCCAGGGCCACCTGTATCAGACTGACAGACAGCAGGCAGGCAGGCAGAGACAGACAGACAGGCAGTGATCCTGAGGGAAGTCCCTGAGGGAAGCAGACTTGAAAGCCACTGCCTCAGGCGGTGGATTGGTCAAAAGAAGTAAAAGAATTTTAAGGAAAAGGCAAAAACCGACTGCGTGGCCTCCCTCCCCCACCTCTGGCAGCATGGTGTCCTGCGCCCCTTGCCAGCCCTCTCACTGGCAAGAGCAAGTCCCCCCCCACCAGGGGATCCCAGCCACAGCCTCCACACTGCTGCCCACGGTGAGGGTGCTCTAGGTGGTTGTCTAGACCTGGGTTACACGACATGACCCCCTGATCAACCAAGACAAGCACGAGCCACTCCGTGACTTGTGAATATGGGAAAACTCGGACACAGGAACACTAGTGTGAAAACAGGACCACTGTCTGCATCGAGAGACGGAGCACCAGTCTGTGTCTGCCGGCTCCAGACACCTCTGGAGCAGCTACAGCTGCAGCCCTGCTTTCATTCCTGCCTTGCAGACGTGATGTGCTGTGATATCCAAGCACACATTTATTCAGCTCCTGACGGAAGCTGACCCCATGAAAAGCCTCAATTCCTCAAGCCCTCCCCCAAATCACCCAGTACAAGCTCAGAGTCCACTGAGTCCTCCCCAGCACTGAGACGCCCCTTCAGTGTGCATTCTCCTAAGGGCGGTGAGGGGGCAGGACCTAGTGGCCTTTGACCACATCTCTGGGAAACTCTTCCTGCTCAAATCTGGGCACAGGTCTGACACGGTGAGAGGAGCAGCTTTAGGCTGGTGGCGCTGTGTCACCACCTGTGCTGTTCCTCGCCCCAAGACACTTAGGAAAACTTCCGGACTTGGAATGTGCAGCCTGGCAGAGCTAGTTCTAAAGAGCCCAGGCCTTGAGTGCCTACCTGGGTACTGCGCGGTCAGGCCTCAGTAGGTGGCCACGTTGACGAAGAGGACGTGCTTGCCCGCGAACTGCTTGAACTGGATGTACTCCTCACCCAGGAGGGTCAGTGCTCCGTACTCATAGATGGTGCCTGGCACGGTTTTGTTGCAGTCCGTCTGAAACAGAACAAAAGCAGCCACAATGAGGGGAGCAGACAGGCAGTAGCTCCAACCACTGTGGTGCTGTCAGCGTGCTCCAGGATCCTAAGGACCAGTCAAGACCTTTTCAAAGAAAAGTTTTAGTTAGAGCCGATGCCACAGCCAGAATTCACGTCTCCTGACTTACATGTGGGCTCACACGTGTGGCAGGACAAGCCCTCCTAACACGCACACCTGGATAGCAGTAGTCTCCTGTGTCCACCTGACACTGCTGCCCTCTCCCCGGGCCTCACACCCCACCCTAGCCATCCCAGTCCTTCCCAAATATTCTTAGTAGATTTTGCAGTTTTCCACAACACAGAATGTACAGGAATTCCAGGGCTGTATGACCCTTACATTCATTTTCTCCCCAAGGCCTGCCCCAGTTTTCTCCTCCTCTAACCTCTTTAAAGGGGTGATTGGGGGGTGCACTCCTGGTACCTGCAAAACTCACCCTTCATGCCCTGTTCTCATCCTACATGGGGAGAAGCAACCCAGGCGGCTGGTGAATTGGGGATTATGAAATAGAAAGCACGGATGAGTTAAACCCTTTACATAAGACACAGGAGAGGAGAGGCAGGCAGGGCCGGGATCAGAGGCTAACCCTGGCCACCTCTTAGGAGGGGCCGCACCCAGCTGCCTGGGAGTCCAGGGACGTACAGCAGGTTAAGTTGGGCGTCAGGGCCTCAGAGCAGAAAGCCAGGCGACAGACCCGGAAGGCGCAGACTGCGGACTTGGTTAGCCGCGTAGTGTGGGCAGGAGGCTGGGGTCACCTTCGGCGGTTCTGTGGCCAGGACGCCTGGCCGAGCCTTCTCCTGCACCCCACTCGGAGAAGGCTTGTAAGGGGCAGCGGCCTACGCCCGACTCTGCGATGCGCTAACCGCGGTGTTCGCTCGGGAATCTCAGCCTGAGAGCCCTGCAGAGCCCAAGTGGCCTTCTGCGTCCTGCGCTGGGTGATCTCTTGCGACTGCTTTTCTCGCTGTAGCAGCAAATGTCACAGAGACCCTGGGCTCAGCGAAGACGCCGACGGCTCTTTCCCTAAGGCCGGCACCCTCTGAGCCGGGAAGTGATCCCAAGACGCCGCCCCTCGCCAAGCTGGGTCTCCCCAGCTTCCCACTCTGGCCCTGACGGGACCCGCGCCCCGAGTCCTTCCCGTCGCCTCCAGTCTGAGCCCCGCGTCGCCCTGCCTTGCTCCGCGGGGGTCACAGCCCAGGCTTGGAACAGCAACCTGCCCAGTGAGCCCGGGGGAGAAGCCAGGCCCTGCCCGTCGGCACCGCGCGTGGACGCGGGGCGCAGAGGGGATGAGGGGGCCTGTCCGCGGAGGCAGGAGGACCTCCGCGGTGGACAGGCGGCAACAGGGCGCCAAGAAGGGCACCGGGTGGTCGCGTCTTTCCAGGAGCGGCAAAGGCCTAGCCGGACGCGGGACACCACCTTCATCCTCTGCGCCTCCGGGGTGTCCTGAGCGAGGCTCAGCAGGAGCAGCGGGAGGAAGCCGAGCCCCGCGGCGCGCAGCAGAGCGTGCATGGCTGGGGTTGGGCTGGGACTGGGGCTGCACAGGGCTGGGCGCAGGCGGCACTGCCCTTAAGGGCCCCGCAGGCACAGGCGCCAGCCAATCGGGAGCGGTGTCCGCTCGGCTCCGCCCCTCCCGACCTCAGGCCCCGCCCCCTTCCCCTTCCCCTTCCCCTTCCCGGCCCAGGTCTTCGCGCCCTCTTGCAGCCAGCCCTGGTGCTGTGTGGCCCATCCCCGCCCCTATCCGACCCCAGCCCAGTTCCTTGTCCGGTTGCTGTCCTGTCCCCTGTCCAACCCCGGTCCAGCCCCGACCGCGGCTTCCTGCCCACGAAGTCCACCTGAGGCCGCCGTCCTGGGGCGGAACTGGGTGGTCTGCGGGCCCATCTTGTCACTCTTGTGAGTGACCTTGAGGTCCCCTGCCTCAGAGGTCAGCAAGCGGGCTTGGATTCGCCTTCTTGTGCCCTCGCTCCCTTCCTGCTCCTCCAGAGGGTCCGGACACCGAGAGCGGAAGCGCCCATGTCCCTTGTCCCCTGGCCCGTGTCTTTTGTCCCTCGTTCTTGTGACAGCTGAGTTCCAGCCTCAGCTGCTGACCTCGTCCTGCTGTACTGCAGCCTCCTGGATCCCGGGTCTGCTGAGATCACGACCCTCAGACTCCAGGAGGACTCCAGACCCTGAGGTGACCCTGGTCCCTGGTCGGACAGCCAACGACTGTCCGATCCAGCCTAGACGTGCAGTCCCCTCTTGCTTAGACGACATCGTCTCCCTTCACAAATCTGAGTGTAAAGCGAGAAGTGTCACATCCATCGCCATGAATCCAGCTTGTCTCTCTGCTGGCTCAGCCGCACCGACCTCAAGGTGAAGGGTGGGGCGGGGGAGAGAGGGGCATGTAAGAGCCTGGCTGGGCCTCCCTGCCCTGGAGGACAGGCAGACCCGCGCCTGCCGGGAGCCCAGCCTGAGCCTCCTCCAACAGAGTGGGGAGCCTTGGGTCACCGGTGCCCAGCAGCTGAGGAAGAATGTGCTTCCAGAAGCGCAGGTCCACGGCTGTCACCCCAGAACAGGGCGGATGCTATGCCCACCACAGCTGCCAGAGCTGCTCCCACTGTGGCCACAGCACCCACCTCCCAGCCAGCACAGTGGTGCAGGCCTGTACTCTCGGCACTCTGGGAGGCTGAGGCAGGAGGACCATAGATCTGAGTCTCACCTTGGCAATTTAGTAAGACTCTGTCTCCAAATAACAAATAAAAGGGGCTGGGGAAGCAGCTTAGTGTAAAGGCCTTGGGTTCAAGGCCCAGGATCACACACACACAAGACCAGTGCTCCCCCTCAAGGCCTGGTCCCCAGCCTTCTGTGACTTAGGCCTGTTTGTCCCTGGGAGGGAGGGGATGTGGGCACCCTGTACTCCATAGGTTAAAGTGAAGCTTTAAGAGTTGCAATTTTTCTCTTTCACCAACTTCTGCATTTGAGGGCAGAAACGGCCACTCCCAGCCAGGTCAGGGAGGTGCACGTTGCCTCCCACTTGTGTCATCCTCAAGGGTGATTCAACTCTGGGCGGCAGAGGATATGGGGTCAGCCCCCAGCGCTCTCGGCACTGTCCCTAGCAGACCACCTTGCTCCTGGGATGACACGATGCCTGCATTGCCTCCTGCCAGACCTCATGATGGCTTCATGTTTTCCCGTTCAGACCTCGTCGTGCTCTGAGATGACAGTGCTCGCTTTGAGAAGACCAGGACTTGAGAGCATTGACTCAGAAACTCTAGAATTCTAGTACCCGGGTATTCGGGCTCTGCCCTGTAGACACAGAAAGGAAGGCATGCAGGATTCAGGGCGGAGGGGCTGGCTGGTCCACCTTGCAGGGCCTCATGAGCACACTAAATTGGGGTAGCTGATACCAGCTGGGAAAGCTGACTTCTCACCTGGCCCCCACTGCCCAGCGAGGATGCCAGGCTCTGGGGGCCTTGAGGCCCCAGACTTCACCCACAGGCACTCCACCAAGTCCCTGGGCAGTGAACCAAATGAGGAGGAGACAGTAGAAGCAAGTGGTGCTGGGGGATTTGGTCCAAGAAGGGGACCAGGGAGAAGAAATAAGGAAGAACAAAGCAGACTGACAAGAAGTGGGACCGAAAGCATGTTTCCCCTGCTGCTGTGTGCCAGGCTGCTCAGTCCTGTCCTCATTCAGTCAGCGCTAAAGTGATCATGAGTTTCATATTCTCTACCTTTCATACATAAGGACATCAGCACAGAGACAAATAAACACATCCCCAAGTTTGCAGGCATGGTGATCCTGGAAACTGGGACTCAGCTCCAGTGCGTTCTCACGTCAGCCGAGCCTCCCTGCGGTGGGTGGACATGGGTCCCCACGGGTATCCGGTGTTGGGCCCTGGACCTGGAAATGTTATCTTATAGGGCAGAGAATTTGCAGATGAGATTAAAACAAGCTTTAGATGGAGGGATTATCCTGGATTATCTGCTGGGCCCAGATCGGAGCTCAGTCACAGGCTTCCTCGGGTGGCGGAGGGGCAGATTCTGTGCCATGAGGAGAAGGTGGCAGTGGGGCTGGGGCCTCCCAGAAGGGCTCACAGCCTTTCCTTCCATTTTCTTCCTCCTCGTTTATTTTTGAGGTACTGGGTATGGACCCAGGGCCTCACACTGAGCTACCTCACTAGCCCTTTCCATTTATTTACTTACTTTTGAGACTGGATCTCGTTTACTAAGTTTCCCAGGCTGGGCTTGAATTTGTGAGCCTGCTGCCTCAGCCTCCTAGAATGCCAGGGTTATAGGCTTGTGCCACCACGTCCTGTTCTAATGTATTTGTAAAACTGACAAAATTATATGTATTTCCCATGTGCAATATATCCTTTCGAAGTTTACATACATTGTGGGATGACTAAGTCTAACTCATAAGCATTCATTCACCTCACCACTCTGCAGTGAGAACACAACACCCACTCCCTCGGTAGTGTTTCAAAAATACAGTGCCTCATTCATTATAGTCCCTGTCTTTCCCAGTGTATCTCCTGAATTTCTGCTTAAAACCTAACCCTATGTTGAATCTTCTAAGCAGTCTGTTCCAAGCTTCACATAACCACCCCAGGCACGGAGTTAGTGGCACCTTGGGGACAAAGGGCAGGGATGATCCTGGGCCCCAGCTAAGGACCTGGAGCCCATTAGAAGTGTGGCCTCCCCCTTTTTCACTCTCCAAGAACAAACTTATGGACCTTAAAAATCAGATGCCTTAGGGACAGGGATTTAGCTCAGTGGTATAAGCACCTGACTGGCGAGCGTGAGAGTTTGATCTCTGATACAAAAAAAAAAAAAAAAAAAATCAGATGCATCATTAAAGCCAGGATGCCCCTACCATAGTGTCTCCAAGAATAAACTAGATGGGCAAAGGAGACAGTTGGGGGTTCCGCTAAGGAACAGATGCAGCAGGCTGCCAGCCTTCAGCCCGTCAGTCACTGCAAGAATGGTGTGTGTCGTCCTCTGATGCGGTAAGGGACTTGAAAGCTGCTTCTGCTAAAAAAAACCTACAGCAACTGACTCTAACTACATACAGGGTAGAGCGTGACAGGACTTCATTCATTCATAGCTGTCACCTTTATCACTCAGGGCTTGGGCAGCGTTCCCACTCAGCTCTGCACCGGGTGAGTTAATCATTAAGCAGCGCCTGTCTACACCTGGTGCCTGAGGGTAACCAGCCCTGAAATTACAGAGCCTCTCTTACCCCCTCCAAGATAAGAGATTGGCAGATCCATGAGAGCTTCCGCTGCCAGCTCCAACCCCTGGAACCGACGCCTGAAAGTCTCCAGGCCTTGCCAGGAACCTGCAAACGCCATGCATCCCAGCAAAGCCTCCTCAGAATGGAGACAGCCCCCAACAGAGGTGGGGACTGCTCCCCTGTCGGAGACCTAACTGTCCTCTCCCTCGATGGATTAAGGAATGGGATTGGAGGCCCTGGCCCTCAGAGCGCCCCTTACAGTGGGCTGTCTCCCTGTGGACGGGTGTCCCTTCTTCTGTCTCCCTGTCTCCTCTGCCACCTCATCTTCTCCATCAGAACTCTGCCCTTCACCTTTTCTCCTCCTCAAGCTAAGATTACTTGCTGTTTTCTGTAACTTTTCAGTTAGTTTGCATGGTGCAGTCGTGTCTGTGTACATTTCCATGGTCAGTGAAGCAAGGACCCCACCAGCCAGAGACCTCTGGTGACATCGCTGTACTGTGCTTCTATGAAATCAGCACTTTGAAATCCCATGTATTACACTTACCACCCCCCAAAAAAGCTGGTTCTTATATTAATTTTTGACCCAAAAGAGGAAACAGGGTTTATTTTCAGGGCTGTCTTATTTTTTCATGTACAAACATCTACATTTATTCAAATACAGTCATGTCATCTTCTGGAACATCTTGTGACAAGTCCCCAAATTCTGGCCTGAATTTCTTGCCACTCTGTTATGTGTAGAACTGCTGGCCCCTCCCCCACGTCCAGCATAGACTGGGCGCTTCTGGTCCACGAGCGGCTCACAGTGCAGCAGCCACGCAGCCGTCGTGATTTCATCCCATGCGTTCTTCACCCACCTCACAACCTCTTGCAGGCCACACTTCATGGAGTTTCCATTAAAATGTTCATTGAAGATTTGGGGACAGGAGCAGCAGCAAAAAGGTGGCAGCTAAGAGTGACGGTCCCTGCAGAAGTGATGAAGGCACCAAACTTCAGAAACCTTTTATTTCCCACGAGGGCACTGAGTGTGTGCCTGACAGCACTCATTGCCCTGGATTCTGAAGGTTTGCGTTAGGCACAACCATGTCCACTTGCTATCAAGTGTGGGTGTCATTTGCACGTTGTATGTCGTCATCTGCCAGTAAGTCTTGAGTTCATCTGTTTACAAAGCTGTCTGCCTCTCATCCAAAGGTGCTCACTTGGATATTTATAAATAATTACAATCTATATTAATGTAAATTTTACTTCTTTATAATTCAATATGTCCCTTGTGTGTTACAGTGGGGCCGATAATCTTAACTGGGGCTTATTTTCAGGGTGGAGCAGCCTGAAAAATCACACTAGATTTATTTTCTGGTTAGGTCTTATTTTCAAGGAAATACAGTACAAAATCTTTTTTTTTTCTTTTGTCTTTTTTTGAGACAGGGTCTCGCTATGCAGTTCAGGCTGGCCTTGAGCTCACTTTGTAGCCCAGGCTGGTTGAACTCACAAGGATCCTCCTGCCTCAGCCTCCAGAGTGCTAGGGTTACAGGCGTGAGCTACCGCGCCCGGCTCCAGTACGAAATCTTAAGAGCCAGCACTGTGACTCACTTGTAGACCTGGAAGACTGAAGTAGGTTTGGTGCTGACTGAAATCTGCGAAGCATTGTCTGCTGCTGGCTCTCAAGCACCCCTAGATCAGAACGCAGGGCCTGTGGGGCAGAGCACAGAGACCTGCCGCCTAATTCTCTCCTTCCTCCCTCCTCCTCTGCCTGCCTTCTTCCCTCGCCTCAGGCCTTCTCTGGGGTCCAGCCTGGAACCCTGCGGGTCCCTAAGCTCCTGCCGCTGGGCGAGGACACAGTGTTCTCCCTACCTCTCCTCCAGGCCACCAGGCAGAACTCACAGGAGCGCGGCCTGAGGGGCACACACTGTCTCTCTCTACCTCCCGCTTCACCTCCAAGGAGCAGACTTTTTCTTTCTTGTTTGTTTGTTTGTTTTTAACCAGAGACTTCCCACTGTACTACCTCCCTGGCTGCCTTTTTTTGTTTGTTTTTTGTAGTCGCTAAGTTGCCTGGCTGGGCTATGGCTTGAGATCTTCTGGGCCCCCAAGTGCTGAGATTGCATTCACCACTGTGCCCACCATATTTAAGATCATGAAATGGCTGGGCGTGGTGGTGCATGCCTGCAGTGGCAGCCCTCAGGAGGCTGAGACAGGAGGATCACTGAGAGTTCAAGGCCAGCCTGAACTATATAGCAAAAACCTGACTCAAAAAGCCTAATGATGATGATTATAATAATAGTAAGTAAGGCACTTTAAAATCAGGAAGCGGCAGACCTCATGGCTAAGCGTAGACTTGGATTTTTTTTTTTTTCTTTGATGTATGGCTCAGGACATGAACATCTGCACCTAAAATCTGGTTTGATACAAAGTCACATTCCTGGTACTCTCAGTGGGATTTCCTCATCTTCTCCAACTAAATGACTCGCACATAGGTAGCGTCACACACACGCGAGAACTTGTCAGCCCGCAGTGGGCCATATCCACGTGACGGTGGTCCCGCGTGCAAGTTGCCCGGGACGTCACCGCCACGCCAGCCTGCTCAGGGCCCGGGACGCTTGCGCCACCGTCGGCAGCTGCTCCGGTCCTGCAGCCGGGCACGCTGTGACCCCGCAGGGTTGCGCTGACCCCGGGGTCGGGGCAATCACGAAGCTCCCCGCCACTTGGGCGCCAAGTAAAGTGGGGGAGACCCTTCCTGTCTCGAGGCTGGTGGGGAAGCAGGAGGAGGTGGGGGTGGCAGAGCCCCGGCCCGGCCCGGCCCGGCCCGGGTGGAGGTTCTGGAGAGGTGCTGAGCAGCTGCTCCAGTCGCCGCTGCTGCAAGACAGTGTCGGGCCGGGGGCTCGGCGCCCCAGGGCGGCCCGGAGGAAGGGCCGAGCGCAGAGCCCGAGCGCGGAGACGGGCGGCGATGTCAGCCTTCCGGAGGCCGAGGCCAGGCGGCTGGTGCGCGGCTCGGCGGTGGGGCCGACCGAGGCCCGCCAGAGGAAGCCGCCGCGGGACGGCTGAGGCGGGCTGGGCGCAGAGGGCACCGCCCCAAGGCGGGCTTAGGTCGGTGCTGCTCTCCGGGGCCAGGAGTGGCCGAGGAAGGAGGGCTTTGCAGCCGCGAGGGGGCGTGGAGCGTGGGGCGTGAGCGTGGGGCGTGACGCCTGGCTCCCCCTCCGCGCGCGGCCAGGCCCGGCTGGGGAGCGCGCGGGGCGGCGGGGGTTGTGTAACCGTCCTGACTTTAGAGCGCGCTGCCCTCCTGGCCTCGCCGCCCCGGGAGGGACGGGGGATCAATCCCCTGTTCCGAGATCCGATCGCTTCATCCTCAGCCCTTTGAGCTGCGGCGGGGCGGGCGCGGTTCGGCCTGGGCCCGAGGAGCCGGGAGGTTGGCGCCGGCTCCGCGGCTTAGCGCCCCCCTCCCCCCAGGAGATCGCGGCCCGGGTTACCAAAAGGCTCAGTGGTCTTGAGAACTCGCCAGGCCGCCTGGGCTGTGGGACAGCTCAGAGTCCAAGCCGAGCTCCGCATCCTCTGCCGCGCGTGGGAAGCAGGCTCGGGGAGCAGGCTCCTGACCCCACCTGGCTCGGCGTCGCTGTGAGTGGTCTCCCCAGGGCCTGGCCACCGATGACTGCGGCCTTTTCTTGGGTCTCCAGGGCATCAGGAGCAGCCAGCACACATCAGCGTCCACCTTGTGGTCACCCCACAAGGGCTGTGTGACACCTCGAGAAAGGCTGCCAGCCTTGGGGTGGTGAGGTCCACTCCTAAAACCTGTCCTCTCAGCACTGGACACACAACTGTGTTTTGTTTTGTTGGTGTAAGTTAATACAACAAGAAAACTCATGCACAGCCTAATGATGACGACGTGTCATAACTTTAAGAGTTAAACTCAGTCCTTTGAAACTGATGTCCTCGTAGGAAAATATGAGTCATTTTTGAAATTCATGGAGCTAGTAACCAGATAGGGATAGAAAAGTTTCTGGGCATCCAGACAATGTAGGCACTAAACAACACTGTGCCTGTGTGGTAAGGGACAGGAAGCCAATGTGGAAATCATGGGGTCTGGTAGTAAGAGAGAGGTCACCAAGAAACCATCCTGACCACCAGGGAAGCGGCTGAGAGCTCCCCAGACCTGTTCATTCTCTCAAGCCAGGCGCTGGCAGAAGTCCACGGAGGCTGCTGCGCTGTGAAGTGGATCTGGGTTCCGGATGGCGGGCAGTGCTCCAAAGGCCTCTGCCTCCGGGGAGGCCTGGATGTTTGTATTTTTTGGCACAGGTACTCCTGGGATCCAGGCAACTGGGGGGATTAGGATGCTTATCAGGCCTGATTTAGAAGTGATTTTGGAGTTGCGAAAGTGCCTTCCCATTCTTTCTAGGGTCATTGTTGCCTCAGGGCCTTAATCCCACAAAAAATTTAGAAAGGAGATTTATGAAACAGAAATTCTTAGTTTAATCCAGGTCCCAGCCCACAATGGGAGAGTCTTTACAGATATTTCCTTTCTTGACATCACCTTGTTCTAGAAATACAAGGCCTGTGTCTTTATCTGAAATCTAACAGGTGATCATATGAGTATCATGTGTTCAAGTCTTTGTTTCTGTTAGGTTTTTTAGTGCAGTTGAGAGAGAAAAAGATTTTTTAAAAAGCCTTTATTGCGGGTGTGGGAGGGCTGCTAGAGACTGCAAGGACCCTTAAGAAGGGAGCAGGGGAGTGGCGTTTATGGAGCTGGGCTGACCGTGAAGTCTTGGGATTGGAGAGGGCTCAGGGCCTGTGCCAAAAGAGAGCAGGAGGTTTATTTCCAGAAGTAGAACGCAGAAGTTACTTTTGGAGAATATGCTGCAGGGCTTTGGGCCCAACTGGGTGCTGCCAAGTTGGGTGGATGCGGTGTTGGAGACAGCTAAGCCCGGGCTGGCAGAACCCATCAGCTTCTCTGCTTAATTCTGCCCAGCAAAGTACAGTCCCCTGGGTTCCCCCATGGTCCTCTCTAACTACCTGCCTGTCTCCATGGACACAGGAGGACAGATAGGGTGGAGGGAGGCTGGTGGGGACATGGTTCAATACTTATGTGAGGGGCCCAGCAATTCCCAGGGCTCCAGGTCTGCCTTTATTGATTCCCTTATTCTGAGCACCATGAGCAGCAGCTGGAAACTGCTGCTGACTGGGCAAGGACTCATGTCCCAAGGAGACAAATCGTTTTATTCTTATACCTCACCTCCATGATTTTTCTTGGGCCTTCAGCCTTATAGGAAATTAAGAGAAGCGCTTGCAACTTCCTATAAATTTATAACTACTCCAGAGTAAAAAGTTAAAAAAACAAAAGTATTTACTCTTAAGTGGGAGTGCACACAGACCCGGTGAGTGTCGCACGGAAGCTGGCCGTACTGGGAAGTACATGCCCCACGTACTCCGGCCACCCACTGGCCCCCAGGCTGGGTCCCTGCTCCTTTCAGCTGGTGCCAATCTGATAAGTGCAGGCTATGTCTTTCCTTGTTCATACTTATTTGGTGGTCAGTGGGAAAGAACACGGCATCCAACCCCAGACGGTGTCTGGCTTCCTGTCTGGTGCCCGTTTCCTGTGGGTCTTGTGGCTGGGAGCCCGGTGAGAGGCCTGCATCTGGCCCTGAGCTATCTGGATTTGTTTTCCTGCCTGCCATCCGTAGTGTGAATTTGAGGAAGGCCCTTACGTATGGAAAAGTGAGTTTATTAGTTTGGCCAAACTGCACAGAGACACCAATCTGTGGGCAGGCAGAACAAAAGCAGGAAGCGTGTGTCTGCTGTGTGGCCACATTGCCCAGAGAAACGCTGGACGACTGCGTCTGTGGAGACCCTCTTGCAGGGCCAGGGCGTCGGTGTCACCAGGGAGACGAGGAACAGCCGGGCAGGGAAGCCTAGTCTTCAGGGGCTGATGCCGGCCCTCGCTGGGTCTAGGGCTCTCGCGCACGGATTGGGGCTCATGGAAGCATCTGTGTGATGAACACCCCACTGGGCCACCCCTCCCTGCGCTGTGAGCAGCGGCTCTCACTGTTCATGCCCGACTCGCAGGCAGACCTCAGAGGTCTATCCTGTTTGTGTTAAAGCCCAGGATAACACACAGCAGAATAACAGCACCTGTCTTCTTTTTGCAGTCCTTAAGCTTGTTTGGCGCAGTCTGTTCCGCTGAGTTCACCACAGTGCAAGAATGGTGTTGGGACATCTGAGAGGCCACACCTGCACTCAGGGTCCTGTCTACTCGGGAAAGTGGGCAACAGTCCTGGAGGACCTGGAGGCCCATCCTTGTTAGGCAGGTAGCTAGCCAGCAGGCCTGAGGGATGAAGAGGGAAGGGGTCCAAAACAGCATTTGCTGCCACTTGAGAAATGCAAACTTAAGTATGTAATATACTTATTATCATTTCTTAGGACTCAGACCACTGGGACGCCCCTGCGTATCCGAGCTCATGGTTACGCGTAGTGCAGACGAGGTGTGTGGGAAGACTTCCCTGCCCGATTGTTCCTCCGTCTCCCTGGTGACACTGCCACCCTGGCCTTGCAAGAAGAAAGTTTCCACAGACTCAGATGTCTAGCATTTCTGGTATCTGGCCGCCAGGCCATCTAATTCCAGAGCAAGGCACTCAGTGCTCCTGGCTGCCAGAGCCCCAAGCTGGTAATTTCAGGGAAGGGGATGCCCTTTACAGACACCCCCGCCCCGTGCCGCCTTTGGCTGGGATGGGCTTAAATTAAGAACTTACCTTTGTGAACTTCTTACACAAAGCCCCCGAGGAATCTCTGACCAGCTACCAAGGACAGGAAGTTACTTTGCAACTCCAAGGTGAATGTTCATAAAAAATGTTCATAAACACTGTATCAACCCTGGTTTCCTGAGCTCAGAGTAGCTTCCTGGGCATAAAGGGATGTCCCAGTGCAGGCTCAGAGCACGGCCGCCTTCCCGCACCAGGCACAGGGCTCTCCAGCATTGCTTTACTGCAGAGTCCACTGAACTTCATCAAGGGCACGAAGAGCCCAGGGCCAAGGAGCGGCTGCATCAGGATGCGCTACTTCCCCTAATCCTGCCAGACTGTGCCTCGCCCACGTCCTCGCCACGCACCACGGGTCTAGGAGGGCCTGGGGTGTGTGTGGGCTCAGATGGCCCAGCGCCTGAGGGGTGTGTGGGTGCGGATGTGGTGTCCCCTGGCTCTGCACCACACTATTGGCTGGCCCGGAGTCCTTGCGCCTAGATATCTAGACCTGGCCTCTGCCAGGCATCGCCACTGCCATGCCTCTGAGGCTACCTGCCTCCTGCCTGCTCCTGCTCCTGCTGGCTGGCCTGGTGCAGCCGGACCCCAGGCCCAAAGCCATGAAGGTGGGTGCGCTCCAGAGAGGGGCTGCGGGGCTTCCTTCCCTCCTCAGTCTGCGCCTTCCTGCAGGATTCCCACTCTGCTTTCTGTGTCTTTGTCACCTGTCAGGGTGTCCGAGAGCCCTGAAGTAGAGATGGGGATTGACCTATCCTACCCACAGGGCAGGGGCCAGGTTTGCTGCCTCCAGCACAGAACAAAGTTTTCAGGGTGCATCTGCCAGTGGGAGGCTTAATAAGCAGAGATGGAAAGTGCTGGAAGGAGCCCGCGTGGCTGGAGCAGGGTGTGTCCTCCAGCTGGGCATGTCTGTGGGGCCTGGGGTGCAAACTGCGGCACTAGTGAGGACAGAAGGAGGGGTTCCACTGACGCATGCAGGCTGGGTTGGTGTTCCTAAGTTGCAGTTTTTGTCTCTTTCCCAGCTACCATATTTTTCCCATCCTGCCTCAATTTATGGGTCCCCAAGCCTTTCTTCTCTACTGTTCTTCTGGTAAACAAGCCAGCCTTAAGCTGAGCATGCATAGTTCCCCGAAGGGCGTGTGTATGACACACATACCCTCTTGACCTGCTCCCTTTCCACTGAGCAGCAGCCCCAGACGCCCCGCAGCCAGGTCAGCACCAGGAGCATCCCCTCTGGCTTTGGGAGTGGGGAAGTGAGGCTGGGAAGACAGGCTGAGTCTCCACAGACCTGTCAGCTCGGGCTGAGGACAGGCTTCTTGGTTCTCTTGGTCTGCTGACCCCTGCCTGCACAGGCTTCAGGGTTAAATAATGGTTGCCAGAATAACATGAAACACTTGGAAAGACAAGGCAAGGAGGACTTAACACAACTGGGCCTCCCGCCAGCTATCCTAGAGTCTGGCCTTCGTCCTGTTCAGTTTATGACTCAGGTCACATATCCATTAAACGTCCTGGGAAGGGTGTCCTAGGGGGAATGGAATCAGGACAGCTCTCTCCTCCGGGGCCCACCCACCTCTCCTGTGCCATATAACAATGAATTTGCCATCTGTCCGCCTTCCTCCACTACCGGTGATGGTGCTGGCCTCTCACATGCCGTGTCCAGAACAACATCTGTTACTTATGCGTAATGATCTCTGGCTTTTGGAGGGAGCAACAAATATTAAGCATGTAATACATTCTGCAGCGGGCAGCTCTGTTATGATCTTTGGCCCACTCTAAAGCTGGCTCTGTAGTTTTGGAATTGGCACAGTTTTCATGTTTGCTGGTGCCATTTCACTGGGCCCGGAGACTCTGGACTTGGAATCTGCATGGAGAGAGCTGTGTCTGCATGGGCCCCTGGTCCTCTTCCTAAATGCACACACATCTCCATGTGCCCAGACCCTGACGCAGAGCTGTATCTGGTGGTGCTGGTGCGGAGTAGCAGCAGGAACCAGGAGAAGCTGGACTGAGCAGAAGGAATTTCAGGTTCTGGGTCCCGCTAAGGACTTGCTTCTTGGTTCTCAGTGTGATTTTCTCTGCAAGCAGTGAGAAAACAAGCAAGTACAAAAAAGGCAAATTCTTAAAAATGTTTAACTTGGACCCAGGCACCATGGAGACATGGTGCTTTCCTGGCATGCGTCAGGGTCCAGGCACATGGAGATGTGTGTGCATTTAGGAAGAGAACCAGGAGCCCATGGAGAGAACACTTTCTCCCTGCAAGGAGGGACGGGACAGCTACAGTCTGTATGACAGTGATAGGATCAGCGGGAGTTAGGGTTGAAAGCAGGTGGATTTTGAATTACTTCTTTTCTGGGTGGGGACAAGTGGGTCTGTCTAAAACCCTTTGTGGTTTTCAGCACAACAGCAAGGGACTCCGAGCACAGCTGCATTTCACTGCATTTCTAAGAAGTCAAGTGAAGTCTTTAGGTCTGGACCTTCCTGATCAAAGAACGGCCTTGTCTGTCTTCCGGCTGGTTCTGCTGCCTCTTTCTCCTGAGATGGTCTGGTGTGTGGCTTCTCACCGTTCCTCTTTACACTGCTCATATCTGGGAGCAGTCTCAGCTTGCCAGCTCAGGGAAGGGGCAGCTTGAGCTGGTGGGCACGGTGACCTTGGGGAGCACAGGTCCCACAAGGGTGGAGACAAGAGGCATGGGACGGGGCCTGCTGGAGGAGGAATCTAGCAGAGAACCTCACTGTGAATTTGGGGTAGAACTTAGTTTTCATTCTGATATCGCTCAGTTGTGTCAGGATGCTTGAGAAGGAACAGGAGACAGTGCTGATGACAGAGGAGCACCCCAGACACCTAAAGACAGCTGTGTGGGATGGCTCGGATGCTGCTAGACACAGTGATCAACTGGCAGATTCTGGGGCTGGCTGTGCCCTTTGTGGCGTGATATGAATCTGGGGCTTCACAAGGTTGGCATCCATGACAGAGGAGGAGGAAAGACATCAGACTCCAGGGTGTGATGCTTGGAGGACTGCCCAGGTCCCGACAGGCATCGAGATGAATAGCTGTATTTTACTGGGGAGAAATGGTCCTGGGGAAGAGCTGCCGTGCTCACTGAGGCATTGAACAGCCACACTGGTGCCTGACACTGTCATGGGGTAAGAAGTCAGACGGCCCGGGAAACAGAGGCAGCAAGGCTAATGTGGTGCTTGGCCAACCAGACCACGCCTTCCTGCAGATGCCAGGCAGGTGGATTCAATCCAGACACCAGCCTCCCCGTCACAGAAGCCCTCAGTCCCCCCACCCCACCGCCCTGCATACCTACACACCTCCTATTCCAGGAAAAAGGAAAGAGACATGGCAGCTCTTTGCTCAACAACCCCTTAGATTTGAAGTGCAAATCCTAGATTTTGTTCTCACCTTTGACCGCTTAGATGAGGTAGCTGTGCTCTGAGTCCCTTGCTGTTGAGTCCTCTGGGAGATCACGCGGGCACCAGGACCGTAGCCACTGATGCTCCCGCCCTGAACCGTCTTCCAGATGGACTGCTTCAAAGACGTGGATGACACCATCTTCAACTATGAGGCTGTCACCCTCGGCAGGAAGGAGCTTGTCCACTTCTCCCAGTTCGCGGGCAAGCTCATCCTGGTCGTCAACGTGGCCACCTACTGCGGCCTCACCTCGCAGTACCCGGGTAAGGTCAGACCTTGAGTCCCTGGGACTGTGCTCCAGGTGGCCGTGCCCCGGGCCATCCCTGGAAATCCGCTCACGGCATCCACGAAAAACACGCAGAGTCCAGAGGTCAGGTCACACAGAGCCCGAACCAGGGGGACTGGCTTCAGACACGGGGGAGGCACCAGACTGAGGGCTGCACACCTGAAGACAGGAATTTCTGATTACCTGGTGCCTTCTGATTAATCTGGTGCTTCTGATTACCTTGTGCTTAGCAGAAGTGATGCACTGACAGGCTCAAAATTCAGAAGGCCAGGGCTGGGGATTTAGTTCAGGTGCCTGCTTGGCAAGTGCAGGGTTGTGAGTTTGATTCCCAGTGCAAAAAAAAAATAGTTCAGAGAAACTAAAAGACTTGGAGTGCAAAATCTTTCCACCTCCAGACTTTCCTTTCATACAACAGGTATCATCATGCTCATAAAGTCGCAATTTTTCTGCCTGCTCTCCCTGTTCGTGACATACTGTAAGCACAATCTGCTCTTGTTTTTGAGTGAACAGTTTTGAGTTCAGTCTGTTTCCTCGTTTTTAAAGACTGACTCATACTCACTGGCCCATTAATAATCTGTCTGCGATCCGAGGAGCTGCTACAGGTTTCAGCACACTCACAGCAGATGGGGAACTGAGGCCCCCAGTTCTGCCCCTGCTCTGCAGGGAGGGGTGACCCACAGGCCCAGGACAGGAGCAGGTACAGGTGGTTCCAAGGATCACATGGAGACCGCAAGCAGCCTCTGATGTTTCCAGAGAAGCACAGAAGTGCAGCCGGCTGGGCTGAGGCCATGCTTGGTGGGTGACCAAGCAGGTGTCCATCTTTGTCAGGCTTCCTGGGGGGAGGCAGTGGCTGAAGCTGCTGTGTTGGTTCACAGTCAAGGCCTCCCAGGTGGATGCAGTTTTGAGGCCCACAGGGGCCCGGCTGGCAGCCTTGGCTTTTCCCTGCCTGTGCTGTGTGCTGTGCGCCTGGCAGGAGCTTTGTGCCCCAGCCCCACTCCAATCCCTAACAGAACCAACTGGGGCGAGTGTCTCGTAGGGCGGGTCAACCTGGCTTTCCCACAGGTGACGGGTCCATCCTTGAGGAAGTGCACAGGAGCCACTCTGTCTCAGGGAGGGGGCACAACTGTCTCCCACCCCGGGGAAGGGCCTCAGTGACTGATGTGCTCCATGGGTGGGAGAGCCGCTGGGCACCTGCAGTGGCACTGCAGTGCGCAGGCTTTTGTCCCTTCCGGGGCCTCTGTCCTCTGGCGTGAGCCAGGTCTTCCTCCTTAGAGCAGGGTCACTAAGCCAAGCCAGCGCCTGTGATTTTCCTACTGCAGAACTGAATGCCCTCCAGGAGGAGCTCAAGCCCTTTGGCCTGGTGGTGCTGGGCTTTCCCTGCAACCAGTTCGGAAAGCAGGAACCCGGAGACAACAGTGAAATCCTTCCTGGGCTCAAGTGAGTGGCCCCTGAGCCAGCGCCCTGCCTGCCTGCCCTGGCCTCAGGGTGGGCCAAGGGTGGGGCAGCTGCGAGTGGACCCCTTAGGGAGGGCTGTGGGCAGAGGGGGCAGGGATGTTGGACAGAAACTCGAGGAGGGGTCGAGGCCCGCAGTGACCCAGTCCTGCCGCCTACCTTCTCTGTCCACGACGCTCTGTCACCTGCGCGCCTCTGTGTTGCGGCACCTGTCACAGGCACGTGCGTCCAGGGGGAGGATTCGTCCCCAATTTCCAGCTTTTCGAGAAAGGGGATGTGAATGGTGAAAACGAACAGAAAATCTTCACCTTCTTGAAGGTGAGTGACTCCCTAGCAGGCCTCCTGTACGGATTGTTCTTAGTGCAGAGCTGGCATGGGGGAAGCGACCTGGGTGGCACCAGGAGTGGCATTTTGGATTCCGCCCCTGCGACCCTGGGCCCTGCTCTGTGGGATGAAGGGAAGGGGGGCAGCTGTCCCGGTGGACGCTCTTGCGCACTGGGGACGTCGAGGAACCTCTGCGACCTTAGCAGGCTGAAAGGCGACACAGCTCCCGCCCTCGAGGTCAGCACAGCAGGGTGGCACGATGTAGCGGCACCGACACAAACCCTGACCTGCGGACTAGAGCACAGCGGGGCTGAAAGGACCCCGAGGGGCGCAGGGGCAGCTGCTCCTCAGTGCAGCCGCGGGTGGGGACTGGGCACTGTCGAGGATTGGTAAAATCTACAGAAAACAGCCGTCCTAAGCAAACGGCTGTTGCCTGGGGGTTGTGAGCGGCTTGCCCCTTTCGCTTAGGACGCTCCCGTCACAGTTAAGCGGTGAAGCGCCGCCCCAGCGGGCACTGAAATGCTCCTGGCCCGTCGGGCCTCAGGCTGTGTGTCAGTGTTCACTTTGCAGCAAAGGAGACGCAGAGGCCGCGGGCCGACTGTGTGCGGCCCTGCTGACCCCTCCGGGCTCTTGGCAGTCGGCCTGACGGGGACCGGGGAGGACTTTCGGGTCAGGGGACGCAGGAAAGCGACCCGCACCTAGTGGCTGCCGCTGAGGACGGTGGGTCCCCGGCGGCAGAAGCGACGCCCTTTCCTGCCCTGCCCAGCGCTCCTGTCCTCACCCGTCCGAGCTCGTGGGCTCGCTGAGACGCGTCTCCTGGGACCCCATCCGAGTGCACGACATCCGCTGGAACTTCGAGAAGTTCCTGGTGGGGCCGGACGGGGTCCCCGTGGCGCGCTGGTTCCACCAGGCCCCGGTGAGCGCGGTGAGGGAGGACATCCTGGCCTACCTGAAGCGGCCGCCCCGGGCGCGGGGGGTCTGAGGCCTGCCCGCCCGGCCCGCGCCCCTCCCCACGCTGACGCCCCAGCTGTCCCCGCTCCGCCCGCTGAGCCGGGCGTGCATGGGCGCGGTGAGCAGTGAAAGGCGGCGAACCCCGCGCCCCGGCGTCCGCGCCGGGCTTCCCGGTCCTCCCCGCCGTCTGGGGGCGCCGCCTCCCCCGCCCCGCCCCCGACCGCACGGCCCCACCTGCCGGCCCGGAGCAGCCGCGCTGCCGCCCCCGGCGCTGCGGACCCCCGGCTCCGGGTGCCTCCTGAAGGACGGGGTCCCCCTCGCCCGGTGCCCCGCCTCGCAGCCTCCCCCCAATAAAATGTGTTCGCAGCACCGCAGAGCTCGGGGCGCCTTTCAGTCCCCGCGTCCGCTCACGCCGGCCGGCGCCCGGCGACGCCCTCGGGGTCCCGCCCCGCGCGGTCGGAACGGCGCCCCGCTGCGCCCCCACGGCGGCCGCTTCTCTCCCGGCCGCCCGGGAGGCCGAGGCAGGGAAGCGCTCACTCGGGGCGGCGTCCCGGAGCCCCCGCCGCGAGCGCCGCGGAACCCGCCGGGAGGAGCCGTCGGCGCCTGAGGCCGCAGCTCGGTCCGGTGCCCAGGGCTTGGGGCGCCCCGGAGGCGGGCGGCGGCTCGCGGGGAGGAGGCGGGTGCGCCGGGGCCCGAGGTGCTGAGTCCCGCGGGGCCCCGCACTCCGCCGCGCAGGCGCGCAGAGCCGCATTGTAGGCCCCGGCCTCGGCTGTAGGACACCGGATTCCACGGGACGCGCCGCCTCCGGTGCCGTCCCGGCGTGGGCTGGCCGTGGAGGGGACCGGGGCTGGGCTGGGGACACCCAGCCCTTCCTGCAGTGCCCAGGGCGCCGCCGGCCTGCCCTCCGCCGCCCCCAGGAGGCGGAATTCCCGGCTCCAGAATAGCGAGGCGGGGCCCGCGCGGGAAAGCAGGGCCCACCGAGGGGCGCCCCCCGCAGGAGCCCCGAGCTGGCCCTTCACGGCTTGGTGGACTTTGTGTCGCACGAAAGCCGAGTACGGCGCCAGAGAGCAGAGCGAGGGCGGGAGCCCAGAAACCAGAGCGTCGGAGCCGAGCTGCGGGGCGGGCCGCTAATGATGGGCCCACCGGACACCCGAGGACACCGGAGGACGCCCGACCTGACACACGGGGCACGGGCCCGCGGGAGGGTCGATCTGTTCACACAGTTTAACATGCTTGACAAAAACACTCAAACGTTTGATCTTTGTAAACATTTGTAGAAGAAAATCTTACATGAAAAATAACAAATGTTGGACGAATGTGAAAGATGTGAGAAGAAATTTTTCAAATAATTGCTTTAGTGGTTTGTTGCGTGTGTGTTGTTCTGTTTTTGTTTCTTGAGACTAGAGTCGCTATGCAGTGCAGGCTGGCCTTGCTCTTGCTTTGTAGCTCAGGCTGGGCTCCGACTAGCAGCAATCCTCCTGCCTCAGCCTCCTGGGTCCTGGGATGTCAGGCTCGCACCATGCAGGGCTACCTTAGTTTTCCTTCGTTTACTCAGCTGTGTAAACCCCCTTTCGGGGGTTTCCCCCGCCCCTTCTATTCATTATTATTATTTTGGATACTAAGAATCTAAAGCAGCGATTGTTCGACAGAAAGCCGAAGTCTTCCAGTGTCTCGGGGTGGAAAGCGTTTAGCTTTCCTGGGTGAAACCCGAGTCCACACAGCCGGCCCTGTTTGGCCAGCTCTGGAACCTAAGCAGAAGCCCGGCTTCCGGGTGGTGGTGCGGGTGGACTGCTCCCACACAGCGGGTGTCTCCCTGTTTGCAGGAAGCTCTCCTGGCTCTGCGCTCGCTCTGCCGAGCCGGGTCCCGGACGCTCCGCGCTGGGCGCCCACAGCTGAGCTCTGTGTGGACTCACAGCCACTGAGAAATCAGTATGGAGATTCCTCAAAAACTAAAGCCAGAAACTCCGTTCAGTCCAGCTGTTCCCCTTGCAGGGATTTCCTGAGTCAGTCGTCACACCTCAGTGACCCACGCACACCCGTGTTACAGCAGCACAGCTCCTAACAGACACAGCCTGTCTGTTATCAGCACAGGGGCGGCTAAGGAGTACTACGCTGCCTTAAACGATGATAAGCATAGCATGGTTTCTCTTCTATGAGAAATCCAAAATAAAAGTACAATCAAAGACAAAGAAAATCAGAAATAACCAGGAGGAGGGAGATGGCTCTTTTCCAGGTGGAGTGGGGACAAACGACAGAGGGATGAGAGCACAGCAGGGCAATCACAGGAAAACGCGAGCTGCCAACAAAAATCACAGACTGGGTTCAGAAATGGAGGAAGGGGCAGGGCAGCGCAGTCAAGTGTGCGGCCCTGCGAGTCATGTCCACCCCATCCGGCCCAGCCACCCCACGGGTGACCACAGCCATGCTTCCTTGGTAAGTGGGGCCTCTCCCCTCCGAGCGGCAAGCTCTTACAGAGGCTTCAAAAAGTGAAGAGAGCCAAGGGATTCGAATCCTCAGCCTGCCGACCCAGTCGGGTACCTCACCCACTGCGTCAAAGTGAACTCGGGTGTCCCCGTCACAGACACTTGGGAACATGGTGCAGATGCCCCGCCGAGTCACCTCCAGTGGGGGCCAGCGCACTGCGGACCCCACAGGTGCCTGGAGACCACAAAGGAGGCACGGCCTCCGCTGGGGGCCCCTGGTGTCCACGTGGCCCAAGCTCAGTGCACCATGCAAGGGTAGGGGCTTCACGGAGGCATCGGGACCAGGTTACACCGGTTAGGCCACTGCCTATTTACAGCTGGGTCCGCTGCCTTGGGGGCGGGTGGCAGCGGGGTGCCAGGAAGTCACTGTGGACTTCACCCGGAAACAATACCGCAACACGGGTTCTATTCCCCCTCCTCCCCTCCCACCCTTCCCCTCCCCTTTCTCCTCCCCCTCCCTCTCCTCCATCCTTGTGCTTATCGCATTTTCCTAAAGACTAAAAATTTACAAAAGTAGTTTATGTGCAATAAGAAAAACCAGAAGTCACAAAAAATGAAATGTTACAGTTCAATAAAAATTACAAAATAAATAGATGGTTTTATTTATAGAGTACAAAGAACATACTGAGTAATCTTTATAGACATATATAAGTACAATGCTAATAATTAAGAGCAAGAGAATGATTATAGCTGTTATCTCAGCATGAGAGAACGGTATAAAATGCGGTGGAGGTACAATTTATTTACCCATACTATTGGACGTGGACATTTGGGTGGTTCCAGCTGGGGGTTATTGTGGGGAGCCGCTGAAGCTGGAGATTGTTCACACATGCAGACCAAAACGAGGCCACCCTGAGAGCACCGAGAGCCGGAAGTGAGCCAAGTGAACAAGCTGTTCCAGCTCCAGGAGCAGGGCGCTGGGGCAGCCCTGGGAAGGTGCAAAACAGACGGGCTGAAGTGGGCGTCAGCCTCCTCAGGGTAAGAGGAAACGTGCTGCGGTGGCTGAGCAGTTCCCTTCCTCCCACCAGGAGGGCGGGCTGCACTAACCCAGCTTTCTGTGTCTTGTTGCCCTTCTGGGTCACCTGGGGAAGTTCAGAGCCCCTGGTCAGGCATCCTGGTTATGCACAGGATGACTAAGAATGCTCCTATGTTTTTTTTTTTTTGTGTGTGTGTGTGTGCCTGTGCACAAATTTCAATTTTGGTTGTTGTCACTGTTCTGGGGATGGTACCCTAGGCCTTGAAATTGGGCCACATCCCCAACCTTGTTTTAATTTTTTTAAAGGCACTGTCTTGCTAGGTGTCCTAGCCTGGGATCAAACTTGGAATTCTCCTGCCTCAGCCTGTGTTGAGATTGCAAGTGTGAGCCACCACTCCCAGATTCAGTGGGTGTTAGCATAAGAAGCTGAAAGGATTTTTGATGTTAGAACTCTGACAGCTTTCAAGACCTGTCACTCTTACCTCTGCCTCACATCTAAGCCCAAAAGAAAGTGTGTTGAGTCTATGGATTTGTGTGTAGCACAAACATTTTAGTGACATTAATTCTATCTGTGAACATGGGCTATCTTTCTAGTTACTTGCATTTTCACCAATTATTTTCATCTATTTATTATGCTTTTAGTGTGTAGATATTTCAGCTCCTTGGTTAAATTTGTTTCTAAGTATGTATTCTTGTTGCTTTTGTAAATTTTCTCTTAATTTCTTTTTTTGAATAATTTATTGTTATTGTAAAAATTACAACTGATGTTTTGATTGATTCTGTACCCTGCTTGTTCCATTTATTTATCCTAACAGCTTTATGGTGGAATCCTTAGAGTATTCTGTATAAAAGATCATGATGTCACAAATAGCAGCGATTTAATTCTTCCCTTTCCAATTTGACTGTCTTTTCTTTTGTCTTATTGCTCTGACTACAATTTCCAGTACCCTGTTGAATACAGACAGATAGTGGGTATCCTATTTTCTCTTCTTAGGAGGAAGAGATTTCTGATATCACAAGACCTTTATTATAGTGAAATACATTCTTCTCTACCTAGTCAGCCAGTTTTTGTCATCAATTTTGTCAAATCCTTTTTCTGAATCTCATCAGCTGATAATGCTTTGTATCCGTTGTTTTGAGCTTTTTCCCACCTGCTCTGACATGCTACTTTGAAGGCCAGAGGTTCAGCCATGAGATTTTCACTGCCCCAGTGCCCTACTCCTGTACTAGGAAGAGACTTACTAGGAATACTCGGGTCAATTCCCCAATTCTGGCAAAGGCTAATGTGAGTTTTCCCTGTTGGCACTATACGAGGCAACCATATGGGAAAGCAATAGCTACAGCTGTGCTAACAGAAGCAGCTACAAAACTAATTCTGGGGCAAAATGAGAAGTCCGGACTACCCCTCAGGTCAAGGCTAATCCTGAGGGGAAAAAGGTTTCTTGTGGTTGACATGGAAATGGCTCAGTATCAGGCTGTGCTTTGAGGTAGCCCTCAGGTAACCAGCAAGATCTGCATTGCTCTGAATC